TTCTCAGAAAACTAAAAACTCATATCTGCATTATTTTTCTTAGGTTTCGTCAATTTAAAAAAGTGACTCATATTGACAAATACAGTCTTTACTACATCATCAATCACATACAGAGTATTTTTGTGACGTACCTGTGCTGCTCCTGAGTCGTCTTCAATCTTTGACACGAGGAAAACAGATCGGAGAGCAGATAGATCTTCTTTTATTCCCAGATGCAGTACAACAGATGACTTCCTCATGTTGCTGCCAACAAAACCTGCCTACAGTTTCCTGTAATTTCTGTGAACTGTGAATGATTGACGGTATATAGGTCGGGTGCATGTGTTATTGTTACGGGAATGAGTCTTTCACCTCACTTTCCTCTCTTTGTCTTTTTAATATCTTGTGTGAACCATGTGCTACATCACATTTCAATCTGCAGTTTTAACAATTCCAACGTGTGTTTTCACTATTTCTTAGTTCTCTTAGATCTAAAAATATATGTTTTGTACAACCAAGTAAGGAAGCCTTAGTAGGCCTCTGTCTCCACCTCGGATGGTCAAGTCATGGCTCAGTAAGAAAGAGGAACGTAGGATGTGGATACTTACGTGAAGTGTATGAAATCGGTGTCAAATTTCTCTCCTGAAAAGATCCTCCGTCCAACAGGTGCAGTAAAGGTGTAAAATATCCCAGCATGAGGCCATAAAATTTCATAACAGTTCATCATTTCTGAGTGTAAACAACAGGAAACTAAAGGGCGTTAGTACTCCACTGGATTATGAACGGCCTGCAGCTGAAGCCATTTTTACTCTTTGGGATTTTTATGTTTTTCAAATTCCAGGAGATAAAAGTGTGATGAGAGATTGATGAAGATTGAACGACATTTTCTAGCAATAAAATCAAATTCTAATTAAGTCATTAAGGCAATCAGATGTATTTTAATGGTTTTATGGGACAAAATTAAACTTTTTAATTGCAGAGAGAATTGTGTATAGATCTACAGTTTTGCATCTGGATTGACTACAGATGGTAAATTCTTTGTGACACTGGCATATATTTTTTTCTATAGTGTTTCTATACATATGTTGTGTAACAGTGCGAGTGTCCCATTTAATTACTTTACACTTCACAGATTCAGTCGCACTATTACAACAACAGAGCGGTAGAAAAGACAGAGGTCCCACTCTGATGTTGTTTTGGTGTACCATATTCAGGCAGAAGGCAAGGCAACTATTAATATTAATAATATAACAATTAATATACATTTTGGCTTTAATAAGGAACCAAAATGTGAATGAGTCACATTTTTGATATAAGTGTTAAAGTTTCTGTTTCCCCAACATCCATAATCTTGTCTCTCATTCAAACCTAAAATAAATCTTAAAAGTATACACCCAAAAAAAATGTTCATTCAGTCAAATCTAGCTATTTCTGTAGATGTCATACACATGACAAATGAAACCTAACTGCAACGAAGATCATCAGCAGCCCCAAACTTATGTCAACAGAAATTAGCAAGAAGGTGAATGGGAAACAAAGATAGTTGCAAGATGGAGATGCTCAACTCCTGAAGGATGAAATAACCACAAACATTGAATTTGTCCCTCAGTCTGGTTATTTCAGTTTTCACAAACACTCAAAATGTCACAGTAGAGGGATGTTCTCACAAAGCCCTGCAAGCAGAGACAGGACCATGAGAACCTGACCCGTCACAATCTCCGGTGGTGTGAAGGCCTCTCTCAGGCTAATATAAATAATATGTAATTCATGTTATTCATATATAAAATATATGAATAATGAATCAGGGGCATCAGTACAGAGAGAAAAGCTGTAATGCCTCCAAGGTAGCAGCAGGTAGCAGTCAGTATTAATAATAATAAATACAAAATGAAGAGAATAAAAACAGCAATTGAAAAGTGCATATGTCATAATAATGTGATCCCTGTCTGCTGGTACAGAAACTGTGTGTAGGAATGAGTGTGTTAAGCTTTAATTAATATTTTAACACTTCAAAAAATGTAGTAATCAAGGTAAATGGAGGCTAACACAAGGACACTGATGACTCCAATGACAAGAAGCCAAATCCAGGGTAGAGAGGTTCAGTGAACTCGCAGTAGAACGTGTAAAGGTGGATTAGTGAGTCAGATGTGACGCTGTAGAAGGACAAAGCACCAGCGGACCAGTCCAGATACACTCCGACTCTGTTAGAAGCCGCCGGGCTGTCAGTGAGAAGTGGCGTCCTTATGTTATTATGCCAGGCGTAGGAACATTTATCAGTCAACTCCAAACTCCACGACTTCTCGTTCCACCCGAGCCTGCTGCCGTCACGGGCCCCTCTGCGCCTGAGTCCCATGTAAGTTACTCCGATGTCAACACCTCCCTCCCAGATAACCTCCCAATAACAGCGACCGACTAGTCCAGCTGTGCACAGCAGCTGGTAGCACCAGTCGAATCTGTCCGGGTGATCCGGATACGGCTGCTTCTCTATCGCCAGCATCACTTTTCTGTGGTTCTCAGACAGCAGGACGTTTTTGTGTGCTGTGTTTGGGTCCAAAGTGAGCTCACAGACATCTGATAGTGAGAAACAAACGTAGAAGCAAATCTGCAGGTTTTATATGATAATGACACATAAATGGATGAAATATTACACTTACACTTATGTAGACCAGATTTCAAGCACTGAACACTACCATGATCCACACTGGAAGATAATATCAAGTCAAATCACCATACAGACCTTTAACCTTCGTAAACATTCAATGTATTTTGTCTTTCTACTTCTACACAATACCTGAGAGTGTCCAGCCTCCACCGTCGATCCTCCTGTGCAGCAGAAAGCTGCTTCACTCCTGACTCTCCCAGATGGTTGTAGCTCAGGTCCAGCTCTCTCAAGTGGGACGGGTTGGACTTCAGAGCGGACGCTAAAGATGTGCACCCTTCTTCTGTGATAGAGCAGCCAGACAACCTGCACAAATACAAAACAACACACATGTGATGTGTGGCTGCAGCAGTAGGGCTCGGTAGACAGTCAGTCACAAATGGACATATATGAAGTTTACTTAGTTAACTTAGGTTCAGGAGCAGGGCCACGCCTCAAGCACACCTCTAAGTAGGGAAGGGCGGAAAAGTGGATGAAGGGATGTAGGTAGGGATGAGGGAAGGGGGCTGAAGGGGATGGAACATGGAGGATGAAGGGACGTAGGGATGTGAGTAGGGAAGAGTGGATGAAGGGATGTGGGTGGAAGATGGTGGATGAAAGGATGTGGGGATGTAAATTGGGAAGGAGGGAAGAGTGGATGGTCCTTGCTGGTGAATGATTTGTAAATCACAGGACTGTGTGTTTCTCACCTGAATGTTTCTAGACGGCAGTGTTTGCTCCTCAGTGCAGTAGAGAGGACTTTGACTCCTGAGTCCTGCAGGTCGTTGTTGCTGAGGTCCAGATCTCTCAGACTGATTAGAACTGGTGATATGTCCTGACAGCATTTGGCTGTGAGTCTAGTTTGATCCAACCTAAAAAGTTTAAACATTTACATTTATATTTTTGCTTTTTAAGCTATCCGAAGGGTCTATGAAAACAAAAAACTAGTAAGCCCTCGAGTAACGTGATATTTAAAGCATCATAACAACTTTCAGGTCGCAGCACATTTGATTTGATATATAATTTTTCAAATGCAATGCATTACCTCTACACCCTTCAACAGTAATTAAAGGAAGTTTAAAACAAACAAGCGGAGTAGAAATGTTCAATTGACAAGTGGCATTGAATAGAGATCTCACCTGAGAGTTTCCAGTGTGCATCCTGGATTCTTCAGTACAGCAAACAACAGTTTAACTCCTGAGTCCTGCAGGTGGTTGTTGTGAAGGTCCAGTTCTTTCAGATTAGAAGAGTGAGAGCCGAGCACTGAGGCCAGAGCTTCGCAGCTCCTCCCTGACAACCTACAGCCACTGAGCCTGAGGGATTTCAACCAGTCAACTCACTTATTTAAACTAAAATGCACTTAAATCTGAGTGTTGAATGAGAAAGTTGCAGCAAATGATTGCAGAAAGTCTTCGATACAGAATTAAATCTGTAGAGTTTAGTGTGACTTGTCGAAGCAAATAAGAAGTAGATAAAATTTTCCTTTTTTAAAAAAATTTCCCCCGAAACTCTAGTTTGGTTAAGAGGAGCGATTAAGGAAACTTAAATACGATGGTCGAAAAACATGATTAAATGTACTGAGAACACATTTGTGGATTCCCAGACTGAGACGGACCAAGAGATCAAACACATTAGGCCTAAGGTTTTCATAAGTCGGCTGAAATCTGCCAACTTTTAGAAGGATCCTTTTGAAAAAGGTAAAACTCTGACCTGAGACGTGTCAGTGAGCAGCGTGGACTCTGCAGTCCTGCAGACAGCACCTCCACTCCTGAGTCCTGCAGGCTGTTGTTACCCACGTCCAGTTCCTTCAGAGTGGACGACTGGGAGCTG